ACAAGTTGTTTGAAAGAAAACTGAACCAGTTTCTTCCATTGGTTAAGCAGTTTGCTCATTCATTCAGGGCAGGGTGTGTGCGGGACCCGGGGTGTGTGTGTGGCCCTATTGTGTGTGGGCCCGGGGAAGGCTACACCCCTGCCCTCACTGAGTGGACATGCTAGTGCGGCAACATGATTACCAAAGAAAGTAACAGAGAAGCACAAAAAGTATCTGGTGGGACTAAGTGCCTCAGGGAGAGATGACTCTCTCCTGGGAAAATTGACGCCCCCAGAAAAGGGCATTTCCGCTTGGCCTCAAACGATATGAGGTATCTCCTCAGACCTGAGAAGGGCTTTCCGGGGGAGGAAGGCCCAGCCCGGGCAGAGGCTGGGAACGTAGCAGATGTGCTGGGGCTGGTGTGTCAGGTGCCCGACAAAGGACAGACGGTGTACTGGGTATTTGTTGGAAGATGACGCCTTTCTAAAGAGGAAAGACAGGAAGTGGGCACCTGGGGAGCTCCCAGGGACTTAGAGTACAAATGGAGAAATTAAGGCTCAGGCCTATAGCCACAACCCTGGCCTCTCAGCACACGGCCATGGTGGGTCCCTTAAGGTGAAGACTGGGGGTGGTGAGGCCTGAGGGACGCCACTGGGCCTCAGTTCCCCCATGGGTGCCAGAGGGACCAATGGACAAAGGACCATAAGGGGCCTTCTCCAACTGGAACATTCCAGTTTCTGGGATTCAGAGCCACATGTGGGTGACACATCACTCCCCCCAGAGCCCCACAGTTCCCAGGAGCACCACGAAGGTCCATGCAGTTCCCTGCCTCCTGCACCAGTATGGCTTGTGGCCCCCATGAAGCATCCATATATGTGCCCCCCACAAATGCTCCCTTCCCACAGACTCCCCAACCCCCATCTCTCCCCTGGAGTTATGACCACTCTCCCCCAAGAAGCCAGAGGGTTGGGCAATACCACTGCAGGTATGGGGGCCCAACACGTGTCTGGGATCCAGGGGAAATGGACGGCAAGCATGCCTGAGTTTGGGGGCATGGTATGTTTGGGGGTGTCTGTATATTTGGGAGTCTGTGCACTTGGGGACTTGGAATGTGTTGGGGTCTCAGTGTGTGTGTCTGGAGACATCTGCGTGTATTTGGGGATCTGCGTGTACACGGTGATCTGAGTGCGTTTTGGGGACATGTGTGTTTGGATAGCTATATGGGTTTGGGGGTCTGCATGTATTACGGACTGCATGTGTTTGGACTTTTGTATGGAGCGATCCACTTTTGTATGTGTGTCCAGGAGATCTGTATATGTTTTTATTTTTATTTTTTTAAAAAATTTGTTAAATGTTTTATTTATTTCTGAGAGAGAGAGACACACACAGCATGAGCAGAGGAGGGTCAGAGAGAGAGGGAGACATAGAATCTGAAACAGGCCCCAGGCTCTGAGCTAACTGTCAGCACAGAGCCTGATGCGGGGCTCAAACCCACGAACCTTGAGATCATGACCTGAGCCGAAGTCGGACGCTCAACCAACTGAGCCACCCAGGCGCCCCTGTATATGTTTTTATTTTTAATGTTTATTTTTTGAGAGAGAGAGAATGTGAGTGGGGGAGGAGCAGAGAGAGAGGAGGACACAGGATCCAAAGCGGGCTCCGCACTGACAGCAGTGAGCCCAATACAGGGCTTGAACTCATGAACCATGAGATCGTGACCTGAGCTGGTTGGACACTCAACGGACTGAGTCACCCAGGTGGCCCAAGATCTGTATATGTTTTAAGCATCTGTGGATTTTGAGGGGCTCTGCATGGGCTTGGGGGCCTCTTTATGGGTGGAATCTCCCTACCCTCGTCTGTCCATATGAGGAACGGGCTTTCTCCCTGTCCCCCTGTTCCTCAGCCTCCCTGCCTGGGTCTGCTTAGGGCCCTTGCTCTGATCTGGGCACCTCCCAGGGCTGAGGAGTGATGACCCGAAGGTCAGGGCCCAGCAACCAGGAAAGCTCCCTGCGCAAGGGTAGGAGGGAAATAGCATGTATAGACCCCCTACTGGGAAGCCTTGCCCCCTAGCTCAGCCAGGCAGCCGGCGCTGACTCTCCCCATTTTCTGGTGGAGGGAACTGAGGCCCACAGAAGTTTGGCCACACCGGAGTCACTGCCAGAGCCCACCTGCCCTCAGGGACCACTGTGGGCTGAGCCAGCCTCTAGGTCACCCACAGAGGCCCCCCACTTGGGGCACCATCTCCCCAGGCCCCCAGGGTAGGAGGTGGCCCGGGCCCATGCTGGGGAGGGGAGGGTCGCTGACAGCTGGGGTCAGAACTGCTCGAGCCCTCAAGAGAGGGGAGGGGGGGGTGTCCCGGCTTTCCAAGGGGCTCTTCCTGTCGCCTGTAATGAGGTACTTGGGGAGCAGGTGATGAAACCACTGCCCGGGTTGCGTGAGGCGGGGCTGCAGGCCTGATTCGCTGCAGCAGCCCAGGAGCAGCGCCCCCTCCCCGCTTCGCCGAGTCCCCACGGGCCCTCACCTCCCCCCACCACCCACCTGCCTCTCACTTCTCCTTTCCGCCCCTCCTTTCCCTGCCCAGTATGTCCCGCCAAGCTGTGGCCCCTGGGCTCAGGGGTCTGGCAGCAGGACTCGCCACTCGTCCCCTCATCAAAGCCCCACTGGGGGCAAAGAAGGGGAACTTGATGGACCCTTCATCCTTTCTCTCAGACCCTTGCTGCCAGGCCTTTGAGGTCAGAATTCTGTGACCCATTTTATGGGGGGAGGAAGCGAGGGCTTGATGCCACCAAGCGAACATGTCACCATGTGAGTGTCACTGGGGTCTTGTAAGATGGCACACTGACTCAGCACCCCCAGTTCCAAGGCCTGACCCTTTTTCCTTCTGGCTTCTGGAAGACCAGAAGACAAGGTCAGCAGAGCCATCCACCACCTGCTCCTCCCCAGCTGGTGGGAGAAAGATTCTCGCCCCCATTTACAGGTGAGAAAACTGAGCTTTCCCATGGGGGAGGGTGGCATTCTTTCTCACCCCCTTACCTGCATCACCAAAGTGCTAACTAGTCTTGCCAGGCCAGGGGAGTGACAGTCTGTGGCCCGAAGGACCCAGAGGTGTTTGTTGATTGACTTAGTGACCACAGATACAGCCACAGAGAGTTTATGATGCTCCAGCACTCATGAAATCTTCCTTTGTCCTTTCCGTTCCTCCCCTGCACAGTGCTCAGGCCTGGGACCCTAGGGTCCTCACCCACCCACGAGTGTGTCCCCCGTGCATCCTGGCCCTTTGATTGCCAAGCAGTTCTTCCACTTCTGCCCCCGTCCGGGTTCAGGCCTCATGTCCCCCACTGGACACCTGCCCTCCTTCTTAGACGCTACTGCGACAGCAACTATGAGCAGGGGAAGCTTTAAAAAAAATCTTTTGGTTGAGATAAATCATAGAAAAATGCACAAAACATTGGAGTAGGGCTAACACATTTGCACAAGCTAAACACGTCTGTGTACCTGGACTCCGGACCAGGGAGCAGTCCCTGAACTCCCACTGTCCTGTCATGGCATCTGTCCGGGAGGCCACTGTGTGACCATCACTGTGAACTTTGCCTAGTCTAGAACTTCATGGACCTGGACATATACAGTGTGTCCCCTCTGTCGAGTCCAGCATTGTTGAATCAGCGTGTGGTCTGAGAGATTTGCGTGTGTGGTTGCATGGATCTGGGGTGCATCCTTTTACTGTGCTGTGTCGAGGTCCATCATAGAATCTACCAGAAAATGTTAACTGATTCTCCCAGTAAGGGCATTTGGGTGGGCTCCAGCTTGGGGCAATGATGAAAGAAGCTACTGAAAACACTCTTGTCTGTGTCGTCCTTTGGCAAAATATAGATCCATTTCTCTTGGGTGAATACTGAGGAGCGAGATTGCTGGGTCATCGGGAAGAGGTATATTCAGGTTTAGCAGATGCCAGATAGCTTTCCAGAGTGGCTCTACCTCTTTCCCCTCCCACCAGCAATGTAAGAGAGTGCACGGGGGCTTTTAAAACTGTAAAATTATATCCTGTGCCCCCAATCTCTCCATGGCTCCTCGACCTCAGAGTAAAGCCCACAGTCTTCACTGTGGCCGTATGTGATCCGACGCCTACAGTGTTTACCTTCATCCCTCTCCCCACTCCTCACTGCCATGCTGTCCAGCCATACTATGATTTCATTAAAATGCCAAACTCATGATCGCTCCAGACTTTTGCCCTTGGAGTTCCCCCTGCCAGGAACACCCTTCCCCCTCGATCTTCCCACGACTAGCTCTTCCCTTGCTTGGCTGTCTCTTTCTCGTGTTTCAAGCCTTGGCTCCAATATCACCTTTGCTGAAGTCTCTGGTTCACATTGCCCCTTTCATGGTCAATACTTCTCTCTTTTTGGACTTAGTCGGGTTCTGACATGCAATAGTTTCATAAAAATGACTTGGGGCAATTCCCATCACTTGCAAAGGTCTGAGTTAGTTGAAATAACATTGCACTTGCCTCTCCTTTGAGGTTTGCTGAAAGAGCCTCAAGACTTGTTGTCCTTTTAATGGTAGGTCTTGAGTCACTTTTCTAATCTTCTATGGTCATTGGTCTACTTAAACTTTCTACCTCCTTTGTGGTCATCTTCTCACAGTGGTCGGCACATGGTCGATACTTCATACCTGCTAAGTGTGAGGGTGTGAAGAAAAAGGAAGAGAGGGACTGGACCCTCGGCTTCAAATGCCCACCCCCTGCCTTTCTGCTCATGTCCCCATCCATCCTGTCCATCAAGGCCCAACTACATGCTTCCTCCTCTGAGATGCCTTCTCGGATTTCTCCCGACCCTCCTTCCCTGCTCCATTTCCACGTCACTGGGTCCATTTCTCTGCCTCTCTGCTGGGCGGATGCTACAAGCTCTCTACTTTCTCGCTGGATTTTTTTTTGGGGGGTGGGGTGGGGGTGGGGAATGTGTGCACAGAAGAGGCCTCCCCCCTCGTGCCTGGCACATTCAGCATGTGCTGCCCCCTCCCCCCAGCAGTTCCGATCACGCCAACATCTGGAGACCAGGCCACCGGGTCTGTCTGCGGCTCAGTGGGGATTTGCATGTAAGTACAAATATATATGCACACCCCGGGCCTTCCGCCTCCGCATTCCTTGGCTGGCCCTTCACACCTGGGCTTGAGACAGGTCAACGCTGAGTGACTGGATTTGCATGCCCATGTATTTCTGGGTAGGGAGTCAGCTGGGGGAGTCTGAGAGGAAGTTGTTGAGGGAAGCTGGGGGGAGTTCAGAGTCTCTCTTGATCTGCTCCATTCACCAAATCTGGCCAAGAGGGGCTTCCAGTCTGAGGGAGACAGAGCTGGATATAGATACCCCTGGCCCCATGGGGCCAAAACTGGACGGGAAGTTCGGGAGCTGTAGGAGTCCAGAGTGAGGGCAAGGAGGGCTTCCTGGAGAAATACATGTTTTGAGCTGGGTTTTGAAGTGTGAATAGGAGTTGGCCAAGTGCAAAAAGGGCTTTCCAGGCAGAGTTCCAGGCAGAGTCATTTCATTGAAGGTAGATTAAGATGGGCAGGGGCTGATTGGGGCAGGGCCTCCGATGCCAGGCTGGGGACTAGAACTTTCTCCGGAGGGCAGAGGGGAGCCATGGAGAGTGTGTGAGCAGCAAGAGGTATGATCAGAGCTGGGTGTTGGGTAGACCCCTTAAAGGCCAAAATGGGGATGACTTTGGTTCTTGGGTGAGGGTCGAGGGCTTCAAGATTATAAGAGTCAGAGGAGTCAAAGCCCTGCAAAGCCCACCGGCATCTGTCACACCCGGCCCCAGAGACAGCCAAGGCTCTGGTGGTTTCTGCCCCTGACGTACAGTGACTTAAAGTGTATGATGCAAGCCCAGAACAGAGAGGGCCTCACCCCCTGTCTCTGCCCAGCGCTGGTCTCTCCTCAAGCCTCCTGCCATCTCTAGCCCGGCCCCCAGCAGTCCTGACCTCTGGGGCAGCTGTGGCTAAGTTTTTAAGTGAAAAATCAAACTCTATCCCTTTTCACTCAAAACCTTCTCATGGCTCTCTGTCGCTCTTAAGCCAAAACCCACAGTCTTCCCCACCGCTCAGAGGACACAGAGTGGCCCTGCATCTATGGCCTCTACCTTTGGCCTCCTGGGCCTTTGTACCTACTCTTCCTTCTAACTGGAACTCATTTCCTGTCTCTGCTCTTGGGTCTCAGTGCAGAGAGACCCCCCTCCCCCACCTGGCCTTCTGGCTCTGGGGGCTCTGGGGGCTCCCTCATCATGTGAACTCTGCCCTGGCCAGGATGTCCCTGTCTAAACTGGGGACTGAGAAGAAAGGGTCCAGATTGAGAAGGGTCTGGATTCAGATCTTCCAGGCCCGGAGACTCGTGTCTAAGTCCCTTGTTCCCATGGGACCCCAGGCACGGGGGCATTTCCGGAGTCACCTTGGCACCAGGGCCTCCGGACCAGTGCCCCCCTCCAGTCCCCAGGGACCTGTCAGGGCTGGGGCAACACGTCCCAGTCGTGGGAACGCACCCGATTCCGGCCGGGGATTAAAATTAGCCTGGGAAGTTAAATTTAGCAAGTCAAGCTGGAGCTGGGGGGCCAGGGCTGGGGCTCCCATGGGTCCTGGGTCTGCGTCGTTGTGACTGCCCAGAGACCCAGACCAGAGAGAGTGGAGGGCACGCCTAGGGTCACACAGCAGGCTGAATACGACAGTGTCTAACCCTCCTGGGCCCTGGGACTCTGAGGGTCCTGCCCAAACTCCTGGGGCTGGAGCCTGGGAAGCAGGTATGGCTCCTGGAGATGGACCTGCGTTTTCCTACGCTTCCTGAGAGCTCACTCCCAGGCCTTGTATCAGGTGCTCTGCATTTTATACCCGGCCCAACCACAGAAGAGCAAACTGAGGCCTAGGGAGAGGCCTCCCTTGCGGAGGACTGCCCAGTGGTCAGAGGCTGTCTGGGACCTGAGCACAGGCCCACCTGACTCTGGGCAGGCCACTCACCTAAAGCCTCAGTCACCTGTGACATGAGAGGGGCTGGGAAGTCACGTGGTCACAGAGTTGGTGGGGGGGGGGTCTTGGATGCCATGGGGTAGCTGTCTGTACAGTGGGGAGAGTGCCACATGATGGGCAGTGTGACTCCTCTGTCTCCAGGACCCCTGAATGGGGGGCACTGGGGAAGGCCTATCCATTCTTACCCTCGAGCACCCCTCCAGAGAGATCCAAGGTCCTCATGGGAACGTTCTAAGATTTCTCTCAAACAGACCTCTGGCCCAACCCCTGTCTGGGCTCCAAGCTCAAGTTCCTTTCTGGTTGTCCGATCACCTCCCACCTGATATATATATGTATATATATATATTTTTTTTTTTTTTTGAGAGAGAGAGAGTAAGAGAGAAGCAGAGAGGCAGAGGGAGAAGGAGAGAGAGAATCTTAAGCAGGCTCTATGCCCAGGACATAGGGCTCAATTTTACAACAATGAGATCATGACATGAGCTGAAATAAAAAGTTGGGCACTTAACTGAATAAGCCACCCAGGCAGGCCAACCTGTTATTCTTTTAAGAATAAGGGGAAAGTTAGAAAATTCAGATAATCAAAAAGGGAAGGAAAAAATCACCAAAGGCCACACATTGTATGATTCCATTACCATGAAACATCCAGAACAGGCAAATCTACAGAGACAGAAGGCAGATTAGTGGTTGCCAGGGGGGTGGGGTGGGAGGTGGGGTAGGAATGGGGGGGGGTGGGAGTGGGGCATGGAGAGCGAGTGCTAATAGGCATGGGGTCCTCTTTTTGGGGGATCAAAAATTTCTGGAACTAGCTGGAGGTGGTGGTTGTACAACACTGTGAATGCATAAATGCCACTGAATTGCACACTTTAGAAGGTATTTTTTTTTCAATGTTTGTTTTTGAGAGAAAGTGAGAGAGAGAGAGAGCATGAGAGAGGGAAGGGGCAGAGAGAGGGGGACAAAGGATCTGAAGCAGGCTCTGTGAGATCATGACCTGACCTGAACCGAAGTTGGATGCTCAACCAAGTGAGTCACCCGCCCCTAGAAGGAATTTTTTTTTAATTTTTAATTTTATTTATTCATTTGGAGAGAGACAGAGAGAGAGACTGCGTGTGCACACACAAGTGACGGAGGTGCAGAGAGAGAGAGAGAGAGAGAGAGAGAGAGAGAGAGAGAGAGACTCCCAAGCAGGCTCCACACTATAAGTGCAGAGCCCAATCGGGGCCTTGAACTCACAAACCGTGACATCATGACCTGAGCCAAGCTTGAGAGTCGGATGCATAACCGAGCCACCCAGGCGCCCCTGAATTGCACACGTTAAAGTGGTTAATTTTAGGGGCACCTGGGTGGCGCAGTCGGATAAGTGTCCAACTTCGGCTCAGGTCATGACCTTGCGGTTCATTGGCTCAAGCCCCGCATCGGGCTCTGTGCTGACTGCCAGCTCAGAGCCTGGAGCCTGTTTCAGATTTTGTGTCTCCCTCTCTCTCTGACCCTCCCCTGCTTGCTCTCTCTCTCTCTCTCTCTCAGAAATAAATAAAACATTAAAACATTTTTTAAAAAGTGGTTAATTTTAGGTTGTGTGATCGCATCTCAACTTTTTATTTTTTTTAAGATTTTTAAAAAATTTTTTAAATGCTTTTATTTATTTCTAGGAGAGAGAGAGAGAGCGTGAGCAGGGGAGGGTCAGAGAGAGAGGGAGATACAGACTCTGAAATAGGCTCCAGGCTCCGAGCCGGCAGTCAGCACAGAGCCGACGCGGGGCTCGAACCCACGAACCGCGAGATCATGACCTAAGCAAAAGTCGGACGCTCAACCGACTAAGCCACCCAGGCGCCCCTCAACTTTTTAAAAAGGAGGAAAAATTCACCCATAAATTTCCAATCAGCAGTGACTCCTCTCTTCCATATTTCCTTCTAGTCTTTTTTATATTCTCAATGCAATTTTTAAATGTATGTTTACTTGTAACCACAGCCCTCAATCTTGCTTGTTGGGGAGCCGTTATAGGATTGAATGAGTCAAAGGTGTCCAATGTGGGGACAGGCTTTCTTTCAGTGGCTCAGGGTTAGTGATTCAGTGAACAATGTATCCTTAGCGCTGCCAAGTTGGGCACTGGATGTCCCTCCAACCTGGCCTGTCAAGGGCTTTTAGGCTGTTGCCAGTATGCATATGTGGCACCTGCGGGGTGTCGGGCAGATCTGAATGCCTCACGTGGGTTAGTCCATTTTATCTCCTGACAACACTAGGCTGCGCATGACACTGTTATCCCCACTGCACACACAGGGGGGCGTAGGGACGACAGGCTCCCTGGAGGTCCCACAGTTACCAGCTTGTTTGATTGTAGAGACAGGGGCGGGGCATCTGTAACTATCTTTATTTTTATTTATTTATTTTTTTAAGAGGGATAACTTTCAAGAGCGCCTGGGTGGCTCAGTTGGTTAAGTGTCTGACTCTTGATTTTGGCTCAGGTCATGATCTCACAGTTTGGTGAGTTCGAGCCCATGTCAGGCTCTGTGCAGACGGTGTAGAGATTCTCTGTCTCCGCCCCACTTGTGCTGACTCTCTCTTTAAATAAATAAATAAACTTAATTTTTTTAAAAAGAGGGATAACTTTTTTTAATTTTTTAAAAATGTTTATTCATTTTTTAGAGACAGAGAGCATATGTGCAGGTGGCAGAGAGGCAGAGAGAGAGACAGGGGGATGGAGGGTCCAAAGCTGAAAGCACAGAGCCTGATGCAGGGCTCAAATTCACTATGAGATCTAGTGAATTCTCTAGAACTATGAAATCATGACCTGAGCCAAAGTTGGAGGCTCAACTGACTGAGGTACCCAGGTGCCCCTGTGCGTCTATATTTTGCCCTTGGTCAGCCTTCTCTTCATGGGGAATTGGTCCAAAGGTGTTCAGTGAGCATCTATCCTGGGCTGGTTGAGGGTGGGGGCTGTGGAGGTGACCCAGCCTGCCTTGATTTCTCCCAACATCTTCCCCTCAGTGCTTGGCGGGGGCAGGTAGAAGGCAGAGGGGAGGCTGGATGCCCAGTTTCACTCTCCACTCTACCCACTCTGTCCTCTTTTCCTTCTCCTCAAGGCCAAGTTCACTCCACCAAGCCTGGGACAATGGGGAGGAAAAAAATCCAGATCTCACGCATTCTGGACCAAAGGAATCGGCAGGTGAGTTCAGTGGGTACAACAGTGGTTGGGGGAAGGCATTCTTGGCAATGGATGCAGCCTGGGCAGAGGCATGGCCATCTAAGGGAGCTACAGGGGTATGGAGAGCCTTGATGTGGCGTCGGCACTTTGAGATGTAGCATTTGCCCATTTTCATGATGATTTATTTATTTATTCTCCCTGATGACTGAAGCCTCAGTCATAGGAGAGATGGAGCTTGACACAAGCACCCAACTCACAGGGCTGGTTCAGAGGGAGGGACAGAACTGAGGAAGCTCAGAGAGAGAATGTAGGCTCTGCCCTGGCGACCCAGGAAAACTTCCCAAAAGGGGAGGACATTTGGGCTGGGTCTTTGAAGTACCAATAGGAATTTGCCAGGTTGAGGGGCGCCTGGGTGGCTCAGTCCGATGAGCATCTGACTCTTGATTTCAGCCCAGGTCATGATCCCAGGGTCATGGGATCGAGCCCTGCATTGGGCTCTGCACTGAGCGTGAAGCCTGCATAAGATTCTCTCTCTCTCCCACTGACCCTCTCCCCAACTCATGTGTTTTCTCTCTCTAAAAAAAATAAATAAAAGTAATAAAAAATTTTTAAAAAATTAAAAAAAGGGGCGCCTGGGTGGCTTAGTCGGTTAAGCGTCCGACTTTCGCTTAGGTCATGATCTCGCGGTTTGTGGGTTCGAGCCCCACGTCAGGCTCTGTGCTGACTGCCAGCTCAGAGCCTGGAGCCTATTTCAGAGTCTGTGTCTCCCTCTCTCTCTGACCCTTCCCTGCTCACACTGTCTCTCTCTCTCTCCTAGAAATAAATAAAAATATTTTTAAAAAATTAATAAAAATAGGAGTTAGTCAGGTTGAGAAGTGTGAAAGAGGGAGCAGTACAGCCAGAAAGAACAGTACATATCAGGCATGGAACCATAAGGCCTGCTCGGGGAGCAGTTAGGCACCTCCATCTCCCCCCATGACGCCCCAAATCCAAGTCTTCTCCCACCCTGCCTGTGGGTCCTGCATCCAGGTGACGTTTACCAAGCGGAAGTTCGGGCTGATGAAGAAGGCCTATGAGCTGAGCGTGCTCTGCGACTGTGAAATCGCCCTCATCATCTTCAACAGCGCCAACCGCCTCTTCCAGTATGCCAGCACGGACATGGACCGCGTGCTCCTGAAGTACACGGAGTACAGCGAGCCTCACGAGAGCCGCACCAACACTGACATCCTCGAGGTACCCCTGGGGCCCTTCTCCCCGGCGCCCTCAAGTCCAGCCCCCTGTGCATGCTCAGAGCCTAGGGACTCTCGGTTTGCCCAAAGGATGGGTGTTGCAAACTGGTTTTACTGCTGGCGAAAGCAGGGTCGAGGCGATGTAGGGTCCCTCCTAGGGTCAGCTGCCTGAATAGTAGAAATAACAGCATCAATCGCTGTGCATCGAGGGCTGCGCTGTCTCTCTCTCACATCATCTCATTTAATCCTGTCATCTGCTTGGGGAGTCCAGAAACAGAATTGAAAGGACACATTGCAGGGTGCCTGGGAGGCTCAGTTGGTTGAGCATCCAAGTTCAGCTCAGGTCACGATCTCACGGTTTGTGGGTTCGAGCCCCGCGCCAGGCTCTGTGCTGACAGCTCAGAGCCTGGAGCCCACTGCGGATTCTGTGATTCCCTCCTCTCTGCCCTTCCCCCACTCTCACTCTGTCTCTCAAAAATAAACATCAAAAAAAAGAAAGAAACAAAGAAAGCACACATTGAAGCAAGCCCACCTCACTGAAGTCCAGGAGTGTTTTTGTCTGAGCTGCCGTGCCCTCAGGAGAAAGAGGCAGAAGCAGTCTGGGCGCTAGCTGATGGTCAAGATCACTGTCCCTTTAGATATGGGAATTTGTACACAAGTTGGGAAGCTAAAGCCACAGGGCTGGAGAGACCAGCAAGCCGAGGATAGCACCTGGGGACCCTAATGTTTCAGGAGGGTGGGAAGAAGCCGTCAGAGGAGAGGCAGGGGCCAGGAATGTGCAGGTCCTGGAGGGAGCGCTCAGGAAAGCCTATAAAGTTGTCCTCAGGCGCTCAGTCAGCCAGCATTTATTAAACACCTACTGCACGCCAGGCCCTGAGGCTGCACGTGAGTGCAGAATGGAGGCAGCAGGGTCATGCTCAGGAGGAGTGTTAGGAAAGAGCCGGCAGCTCCAGGTGGATCTCCGCCCCCACGGGGTGACCTGGGCCTCTCCGGAATTTGCCGGGTGATGGTGCACTAGGGTTTTGGTCAATGGGATTGGCAGGCTGTGCCTGCACTGCAGTCCTCCCACAGGGCTGGGTGGTTAGGTGTCTTCTCTCTCCTATAGAACCAGGCTCCCTGGCCAGGACAGAGGGAGGGTCACTGTGTTGTCTCCCCTTTCCACAGACACTGAAACGGAGAGGTGTGGGCCTCGATGGACCAGAGCTGGAGCCGGATGAGGGGCCTGAGGGGCCGGGAGAGAAGCTGCGGAGGTTGGCAGGTGATGGGGGTGACCCAGCCTTGCCCCGGCCCCGGCTTTATGTAAGTGGCTCCCTGTACCACTATGAAGGGGCCCTCCCTCACGTCCTAGGCCCAAGTGGTTAAGGCTGAGACTAAGGCCAAGAAGCCTAGAGTCTAGGAGCTGATCTCTGCCCAGGTGGAAAGGGAGGGCTTCCTGGAGGAGTAGGCCTTGTAGCTGAAACTTTGAAGGATGAATGAGAGTTCAGTGGACAGCCATTTCCTTCCTTCTGTATTTCTTTGATTCATCAAACACTCTGGGAAGCCCCCTCAGTGCCAACTCTGTGCTGCGTAAGAAGCTTTGGCTCTGGGCCTAGCTGTCAAGAAGTGACAGCACCAGACATAGTCTCCTTCAGCCATATGGGGTTAGGCCAGAGGGAGGAGGAGCAACGGCTTCCAGAGGTGGAGTCTGGCCCCTGATTTTCTGTCTTGGACTTAATGCCCTCATCTCCATGTTCCTCCAACCAATCCCATCCTCTCTGTCTTCAGCCGGCAGCCCCTACTATGCCCAGTCCGGACATGGTATATGGGGCCCTGCCCCCACCAGGCTGTGACCCCAGTGGGCTTGGGGAGGCCCTGCCGGCCCAGAGCCGCCCATCCCCTTTCCGGCCAGCAGCCCCCAAAGCTGGGCCCCCAGGTGAGCATGGGGCATAGGCCCTGGGGGAGAAGGGGGTGGGAGTCCCAGGGAGGCTTGTAGGGGAGACCTTGGCTTTGGCACTGCTTGTCTGTGTGTATTACCTCTGGAGCTCAGACTTCATTAGATGACGTGGCCATGTGCCCTCTCTCTGGGGTCTCCTGCTCTTCAGGCCTGGCACACCCTCTCTTCTCACCAAGCCACCTTGCCAGCAAGACACCACCACCCCTGTACCTGGCAGCGGATGGGCGGAGGCCGGACTTGCCTGGTGGCCTGGCGGGGGCCCGAGGGGGACTGAGCACCTCAGTGAGTGCGGGGAAGGTATGGCAGGGCTGAGGGGGGAAGACAGGATGACCTGGGGTGTGGGCCTCAGTTTCCCCTTTTCCTTATCTCCCCACAGAGAGGCCTCTATGGTAGCCTACAGAGTCCATGCTCTGCCACAGCCCCGGGACCCCCACTCGGGAGTTTCCCCTTCCTCCCTGCAGGCCCCCCAGGTATGTACCCCTTACTTGCCCTGTGGTGGGAGACATCCTTACGCCTGCTGGGGGGTGGGTATCAACACTTCCCCCCCACACACACCCCAGAACTCTAAACTGGTTGGTGGGATGGGTCAGACTTGCCTGGGCAAGGGGCTCCCTGAGGTCAGGGCCTCAGTTTATTCCTCCTACCCCCTAGAATATGGCCTGGGAGATCCCCCTCCACCCCCTGGCCTGCTGCAGCCCCCCACCCTGGCCCCCTGGCAGCACTCGAGGGGTGATGGGCCCCCAGCCGCTCCTCCGCAGCCCAGGTAAGTACCCTAACTGCCTCTCCTCTCTTCCCTCCCCAGTTCCAGTCACTGTAGGGTCCCTCCAAGTCGTCCGAAGCCCCTAGCCAAAGCTGACCCCTGGTGGCCACTTCTCGTTCTACACTCGGCCCCTCCCGACTGTTCTTGGTAGGATGGGTGGCTATTTTGGAAGCCCCAAGAGGGATCGCCACCCCCTCCTTTCCCAAGGTCCTCCTGCCGAGCATTTGCCCACGCCGTGCCACCTCGCTGGCTTTCTTCCCTTGCTCTCTGAGCTCATGGCTCTCCTCTCTCTCTCTCCTTGCAGTGGGGGTCGAAGTCTGGGCGAAGAGGGTACCCCCGCCCGCGGCGCCTCCCCGCCGACACCCCCAGTCAACATCAAGTCCGAGCGCCTCTCGCCGGCCCCCGGGGGCCCCGGCGACTTTCCCAAGACTTTTCCCTACCCCTTGCTCCTGTCCCGGCCCCTGGCAGAGCCCCTACGGCCAGGCCCCCCCCTGCGCCGGCTGCCCACTGCGGACGGCTGGGCCCGGTAGTGGACGCAGGGGTGGCACCGGTCCTTCTTCCCACGCGGGGCTGGGCTCGGGCACGTGGGGTCCCAATCTCCTTCCCCGCGTTCTTAGAAAAGACCCAGCAGTTACGACCCTCTGAAGTGAGGGCCTGGCGTTCGGATCCACGGTCGGTGGGGGTCGGGGGGGTCTCCTTTCTCCCTTTCCTGTGTGTATCCACCAATAAAACACTTCTGGTGTCCGTGGACGAAACTGTCTGTCGCCGCTCAGACACCACGTCCGGGTCCTCCCATTGCTTCCCAAGAGGACTCAGTCTTGCCTTGTCTCAGTTTGGGGTGTCTCCTCCAGAATCCTACCCTGAGACGAGGATTTGAGGATGGGTGTCCCGGAGGAAGGCCATTGAGGGGTAGGGGCGTGGCGGGGAAGAGCCCTGCAGGGGGCGCCGGCGAACAGGTGACTTCGAGAGCCGCGCCGCCTACCTCCCCCTACCCCTGAGGACCTTGGGTAATGGCTTAGAGCGAGCACTTAATGTGGTTCCACTCCAGGGGCGAGAGGCTGGGCTATTCACCCTCCACCTCCTGAGGATGTCGAGTCTGGTGCTCAAGGGGAAGACCCTAGGTTGGGATGCAATCGCTTACAGCAAGAAGTACTTGGGAATCCTGAACGTTGTCGTGATACTCGCCGGCTGCCAGCGGTCTATACACTATTCATCTTTTAAATGAGCATGTCCCTTGATCCCTTGACCCAGCAATTTCGATCCACCGGAGGGAGGAGGGAGCCGGGCGTTTTTCTACCCACTCTTGGGGCCCACAATCTCCCCCCATTCTGGCCAGTCTCCTGAGGGTAGGCTTGGGTGTTCAGGGTCCGGAGCGGACTCCGTTTGCTTCTCCAGTCCAGCCACCCCGAGGTGGTCTCAGTGGGATGTTTGTAACATGCAGATTTGATCCCTGACCTTTCGGAGAAGAGCTCCTGGGCTGCTCCCACCCACTCTACTCCGTCTACTGTCCCTGTCGCCCACCATGTCCCTTGCCCTGAGCCCCGCCTAGTAATACATCCAGCCCCAAGCCTTGGTTAGGTGAAATGGAGGCAAGGCTGGAGAGGGGCACTTCTAAGCCTCTGGATCTCACCCTCGCGGTGGACAAGAAGTCAGGCCGGTCCCTGAAGTCAGTACCCACAGGTTAAGTGCCCACTGTGGGGTTCATAAAAATGTGGACTGCTTTAAAAGACTGCGCGGTGGGGGACTCGGGCCGGTGGGTGTGGTTCTGCATACCCATCCCAGGAGGCTGCACTTTCTCTATCTTCCATTAGGTGGCCCCCAATAGCGTGCTTTAGATTCTGTACTCCCCACTCGGGGGTGGGGGAGGGATAGAAAGAAAAGAAAAGAAAAAAAGGAAATAGTAATAAAAAAAATAAAACCCCGGAGTACCTGGGGGGCTCAGTCGGTGAGGCCTCTGATTCTTGGCTTCAGCTAAGATCATGATCCCATGGTTTGTGAGTTTGAGCCCCGCATTGGGCTCTGTGCTGACAGCGTGGAGCCTGCTTGAGATTCTCTGTCCCTCTTTCTCTCTCTCTACCCCTCCTCTGCTCTCTCTCTCTCTCTCTTTCTTTCTCTCTCTCAAATTAAATAAAATAAACTTTAAAAAATAAGTAAAATCCCTCTTGGCTTCCAGGGGCTCTGAGCTTGGGGACTCAGAAGAGCTGTGTCACATGTTGCATGCACATGTGTGATTTTACATGTGCAGCTTGGGGTGACCTGGTCCATGAGAGGTCAGTGAGCAGGCTACCGGCTTCTGGAACCGTCCAGACTCCAGCTCTGCACCTGCTGGCTCTGTGCGGGAGGACACAGGGAGGGTTGTGTGGAACTGTCTTCTGCCAGCCTTTGTAAAGACACCATTGTGATGTCAGTCAGGGCCACTGTCACCACCAGAGGGTTACTGAATCTCCCAGTAGCTCAGTCACTGGTTGAAAGCATCATGGGAATTGTGTCCTGGGCACAAATGTAGTCATAGCTGAGAGATGCATTTTCAAAAGCATCATAAGTAGAGACGGTAGAATGACCAGTGTGGAATGAGAGTGTGGACTTCAGTGTGGTCAGAGAGGGTGGGATGTTAATGTAGACAGACGTAAGGAGTGTCTAGTGAGGGTCAGAGAACATGGAATATCCAGTGTAGGATACAGCATGTGGATTCACCCAATGGACAATAACAGAGAACAAGGAATGTCCAAGGTACAACAGACCGCATGCACATCCAATGTAGAATAAGAGTGTGGAGTGTCTGTTTTAGAACAGAGGAGGGACGTTATCTGGCTCAAATGTTAAGAGGCACCGTCAAGCTACTCAGGGAAAAATAGTCTGTGGGGGGTGAGGTGGAGGATGGTGGATGGAAGATGAGGACCCCCTGAGGTCCAGGATGTGTGTGTTTCCTGTGGTTCACTACCTAGGGGGCGCTGTGACACCTAAATTCATAAGCCTGGATCCAGGGGGAGAGGTCAAGGTGTAAAGTAGAGATTTGGGCTTCCCAGAGCCTCAGTATCTTCATCAATAAAATGGAGACCATTGTCCTGCCACTTCAGCCTACTAGAGGGAGCACATGAGTAAGCCACCCCACCTTCCCAGGCTGGTTTCCTCCTCTCCCCCTTCTCTGACACCCTCCCCAAATCCCAGCTTCCCTGCATCCCTCGTGGATTCATAAATCAGATCATGACCCCCATGTCGGTCCAGGGAAATCCGGTGGCCCTCTCCAACACTGTCACCCATCCTTTCTCAAGGACACCCTCTGTGTCCAAAGGACCAAAGCCACAGTGAATCCCCTCCAAACAGACATCCACACGTGCTCATAAACAAAGATAAAAACATCCACAGAGACATGGTAATCAACTATACAGGCCGCACTCATGGGCCCCATAAAAACCCTCAGACATCTAATCACACCCACATGTATGTTCACCTTCAGGCAGACACACTTCCCCATAAAAATGCAGATGGCAAAATTTAGGTTCCCAGGCTATAAGGTTTTTCCTCCAAGCCTTGAAACACAAAACATCAGATTCTTTTCAAGAGAGAGAGAGAGAGAGAGTGCATGAATGTGTGCGGGAGTGGGGCAGAGAGAGAGAGAAAGAGAGAGAGACTCTCAAGCAAGCTCCACACTCAGGATTGAGCCTGATGATGGGCTCGATCCCATGACCCTAGGATCATGCCCTGAGCAGAAATCAGGAGTCTGATGCTCAACCCACTGAACCACCCAGGTGCCCCTAAAACATCAGATTCTTGAAATTGATTTTTTTTAGTCTTTGATCCAGCCATGCCTGAAGCTGACTGTGCTTTTTGTTGTTGTTGTTGTTACAAAATTTTCCTTTTTAATAATAATAATTATTATTATTTTTAATATTATTATTATTATTATTTGCTGGAGCCCACTTGAATTGGAGTGTGTGTGTGTGTGTGTGTGTGTGTGTGTGTCACAATCTGAGTCCTGGCTAATAGAGATGAATAAGGGTTTGCCAAATGAAAAATATTGAGAAAGGAGGTATTCCAAGATGAATGATAGAATTTACAGGGACCTGGAGATATGAGATAGTGGCAAGCTGTCTATAGTGTGTACAATAGTACTGGGGGCCTATTGAAGTCAGGTAGCGGTGTAAGAATTCAGTCTGGGCACTTGGAAATCTAGTCATTGGGAGCTATTGAATATTCCAGATCAGGGAACTCAGAACTGTCCAGCGGGAGGCAGTGCGTGGACAAATTAATGTATTTGCCTCAGACCTGCGAGATAGATCCAGATGCTAGAAGACTGAATCTCAGAAAGGACAGCCACACAAGGTCCCAGAGACAGTTTTGGCTCAACCGAGTCTATCAAGCGTCCTCAAACTACAACTTCCGGCATGCAACGCGAGCGACCTCGTTTCCCTCTTGGTTTGCTCCAGCTCCAAGCCTGACGATTGGTCTTACGGGCTGTTTGTCAGAACGGAGTCGGTTCCTGATTGGTTGCATTCCCTCGAGGTGCCCGCAGCCGCAGGTCAGCGGACCGCGTTCCCGCGGGCGACATGGTGAGCCGGCTGCCTGCTGTATGGGGCGCCTTGAGGGGTGGGAGACCCCTCTGAGGGGGTCCAGGGAGACACCGAGAAGACGGGGATCCCTTTGTGGGGATTGGGAGCTCTGAGGAACTCTGGGTTTCGCTGAGAGCCTTGTGTCCCTCCCTGGGTTCAGAGTTTCGCTGCGAGACCTATGTGGGGGGTTGGGGGGGGTTCTGCCTATGGGATTGGAGTTCCCTGAGCGTTCGGGAATTCTGGAAAATCTCTGAGGCCCCTCTGGGAGCCTGGAGTCCTGTGGAGGGGTCGCGGCCCTGCGAAGGGGACTGGGGCCCCGAGAACGTAGGGATCCTCGCTAGGGAGGTCTGAGGTTCCCCTGGAGCCCACGCTGGCGACGTGGGTCCTGCATAAACGTGGGGGCCGCTGCGTGTGTTGGGGTGTGTGGAAGTGCCAGAGAGAGCGAGCCCTGGGAGGAGGAGCCAGGCCGAAGGGATCTGGGTGGCCGCAGGGCGAGCCAGGGTCCCAGAATTGGAGACGGCACAATTGGACCCTTCAGGTCTCATGTGGCTCTGGGTCCAACCTATTGACTTTATTCTTATTAAGTTTATTCTTAAAACTTAGCCTGTCCACTGTGGGTCAGGCTGGTGTGGGGCGAGAGCGGGAACTCTCAACCCCCAAGTGTTGGGACTGGCAGAAGGCGGGGCCCTGGAACGTGACCTGACCCTACCTGGGGGAGTCCCCAACGAGGGGTGTTTGGAGGTGTGCCTGAACGTAAAAAGTGGATGTGGTTCCGGGTGCAGGAAGCTGTAGGAGGTGAGCGGAGAGGTTCTCAGGAACAGAATGGAGGAAAGTCTCCGTTGGTATTAGCAGGGACCCGGATTCTCGTATTCTTGGATTGTAGATCCAGGGAAAGGCTTTTAGCAGGAGAGGGACGTGGGCTGATGCGAGGCTCGAGATATCTTTGGAGATTTGCAAAGCCAGAACCTCAAGACCGGGGGCTGCGTGGTGAGGGTGGCTTGATAAACATCCCTGGACCGACCTCGGGAGCCTCAGGTGGAGGGATGCCTGTCTCTCTTTCCCTTCCCTTCCTCCTTCTTCCTTCCCTTTTACTCTCTC